AAATTTTGTGGCTCTTCATAAAAATTCATTTTGATCTTCGACTCTCAGTCTGGTTAGCGGCTTGCTAAAACTGAGTCATATTGGGACTTGAGTAGCTCATCATTTCCTTGTTGTCATCTGTGTAGGACCCATCTTGTTTAAGTATTGGCCCAATACTGGACGTTGTTCTCGATTTTGATTTGGCATAGGAGAAGAAATATTTGGGTTTCTTTCGATTTCATTTATGGCTTTTAGTTCTTCCCGCGATTCCTGACTCCTAAGGATTCTTTTAGCTTAAGTTCGATGCTTGCTATTTCTCTGACCAGTGTCTCCCTACGCATTTCAGATATATTGACCTCTTTTAGCCGCTCTGTTATTCTTTTCCGCCCGCCTTTTAAAAGGGAGCGCCTGTCTCTTTCTGTTTTACATCTACTCCTCCTTTTTCTTAGAGGAATAAGCCTTGTGCATACATCGGTGCTACCGATTTAAAATCTGTTCTAGGCATAAGTTGGGGTCTGTGTTGCTTAGTATATCTTCCCAGCTTATATCGGTTAGGAACTTGGTTTACTTGGTCCCACTTTATGTTTTTGTTATTGAAGTTGAATTTGGTGAATGCTCCCCCGTGACTAATTCATTATGTCGGTCTGGGGCTCCGCGCATACATGACTGAACCTCAATTATGTTGTGATCTGAGTATATTGTTTTTGATATGGTGATATTTCTTATCAGATCATCATTGTTAGTGAAGATGAGGTCTAGTGGGATTCTCCAGTTAGTAGGCTCTATTATTTGCTGGTTTAAATTGAATTTTGTGCAGAGATTTAAAAGCTCGCGTGAGTGTGAGTTTTCATCAGAGCTGCCTCCTGGTTTATTACTGCAACAATATTATTTGCTTATATTCCCCCATTTTAGGTGCCTTAAGTTGAAATCCCCCAGGAGCAAGATGTTGGGTGCAGGAGCTGGAAGGTTTTCCAGACAGTGGTCAAATTTTTAACAGTGTTCCTGGAATTGCTGGGAATGTTGCATCCGGAGGCTTGTAGACTATCACAATGACTAGGTTTTGGTTCTCGACCTTTACTGCTAAAACTTCCATACATCATTTGAGGCATTTAGCAGTTCTGTGCAAACAAGTGACTCTGCAATGTACAGGCCAACCCCCCCCTTTTGCCTGTTCACTCTGTCACATCTGTATAGGTTGTAACCTGGGATCCATATTTCGTTGTCCAAGTGATCCTTTATGTGGGTCTCAGTGAAAGCCGCGAACATTGCCTTTGCCTCTGCAAGCAGTCCATGGATGAAAGGTATTTTGTTGTTTGTTGCTGGCTTTAGACCCTGTATATTTGCAAAGAAGAATGTTATCGGACTGGTGGTATTGTTGGTACTGGGGGGGATTTTTTTTCCGGCATTAGTATCTGTATTGTTGGTTTGGAGTGGAGGCCATCGACTGTGGTTCCACTCCAGGAATGACTGGATTTGGTGTACGATTTCTGCCATTTCCTGCCAGTTTTTTTTTCCTTCCTGGCACTAAAAAACCTCTCCCTCTTGAGTGGCTGTGGCTACCCAGGTTTTCCCATGGCCTGGATGTTTTGTATCTTTTTGTCCCCTTTAGATGGTATGCCTGGCAATTTAAGTTATAGCACAGTCTTTCCTGTACTGAAGAGGTACACAGTTCAGGGTGAAAAAGCTTACAGGAAGGGAGTTTGCATTTTCCTGTTGTCATATGGGCATGGCATTTCCTAGGGTGGTCATAGTTGCACGTCCCATCTGTTTTTCCAGATTTCCCCATGCCAGCAGATACCGAGTGCATAGTATGTGCACAGGCTGGTTTCCGTTTGCCTTGGGTTTCTGTGACTGTATTCCCTGTTGGTGCATGTTTCCCTGTCTTACTTCTATCCTCCCTAGCACCAACAATGGAGCTCCCACCATTTGTTTTTGGTAATATATCCTCACTATTGCTAGTGGAGTCCTCTTGTTTGCTATTTCCTGCGGTATTTCTAGTTTGCAATATTGGTTTTATCTTATCTTTGACTACACTTGTTTCCCTACTATGGCTCCTGTCCCCTATGCGGTCATTCATATGTATTCCTTCCTGCGTATAATTCCCGACTACCTGGACAAAAATCATAACTATTTTGCTAGAACTCCATTTTTTCTATCAAATGAGTGCAAGAAACCACCCATTTACTGATTTCAACTATGCAATAAAGTGGTCAGGAATTTAGCAATTTTGCCAATTTCACACAAATATGAAAAGATGCTAATTTCCAAATAGGGTCCAGAATAAACAAGAAAGACATTCCTGGCACTAAAATAACATTTCCTCTGTTCATTAGTCACGTCCCCACGCCCCTCTTACATTCTTTTGCTTTCCACTTTGAATTTTTATTCTCACAAAAAATAGAAGATTTACTATTATGCAGACTACTGCATTAGTGTAGAAATGGTATAAATAATATCAGCGCACTTGTGAAAGAATATTAGACTCACCAGTTGACGTGTATTGGACGCGTAGCATGATTTGTGTAGTACCTTTGAACTTTGGCAAAAATCGAAGATTTCTGCTACTTTGAGCTCAGTTTCTAGGTACTTTTCATTGTAAAACCAATCAAAATCATCTCAATTTCTGTAATATGTCTTCCATTCTATAAAATGAGACCAGGAAAACTAGAATACCATCATAAATACCATACGAAAATACAGTGCAAAGTCGCTGTTTTAAACTAAAAACACTTAGTTTTTTTTTCTCATTACACACTGTGTGCTGCAGGATTTTTTTTATACTGCGCACACTGACCACATAGACCCATTCTTTCATATGTAGGCCTACCAGCTTTCTCTCTCTAGATTTGAGGGCGCTAGAATTTAGGCGTACTAGTACGTCAAAAACCCTGGTGCGTAAGCCGTACTAGTGCAGTGTCAGAAACCCTGAAAGGGTTAAATAAAAGACTAACCACTCCAAAACTATATCCCCACCTGCTTTTAACATTTCTATCTTTATCCCATCAATCCCAGCTGCTTAGCATCCCTTTCATTCTACTCACTGCCCCATGCACTTCCCCCACACTCACAACTGGTTCTTCCTTACTCCTATAAGATGTTATTCCTCCTTGCCCTATACACGAAATCACAGCTTCCCTATCTTCATCAGCATTTAACAATTCATCGAAATATTCCCTCCATCCTAGGTAGTAGGTGGTAGACAGCAACCGCCCAGGGAGGTACTACCGTCCTGCCAAGTGGGTGTAAAACGGAAACCTGTAATTGTTTTACATGATGGTAGGATTGCTGGTGTCTTTTTTCTGTCTCATAAACATGCAAGATTTCAGGTACATCTTGCTACTTCTTCTTACACTTAGGTCACACTACACATACATGTACAAGCATATATATACACACCCCTCTGGGTTTTCTTCTATTGTCTTTCTAGTTCTTGTTTATTTCCTGTTATCTCCATGGGGAAGTGGAACAGAATTCTTCCTCCGTAAGCCATGCGTGTTGTAAGAGGTGACTAAAATGCAGGAGCAAGGGGCTAGTAATCCCTTCTCCTGTATAAATTACTAAATTTAATAAGAGAAACTTTCGTTTTTCTTTTTGGGCCACCCTGCCTCGGTGGGATACGGCCGGTTTGTTGAAAGATGATGATGATGATGATGATGATGATGATTCCCTCCATCTTCCTGATACCTCTAACTCATCATTTAATAACTCTCCTCTCCTGTTTTTAACTAACAAAACCATTCTTTCCCTAGGCTTTCTCAACTAATTAATCTCACTCCAAACCTTTTTCTTATTTTCAACAAAATTTGTTGATAACATCTCACCCACACTCTCATTTGCTCTCTTTTTTACATTGCTTCACCACTCTTTTAACCTCTCTTTTTCTCTCCATATACTCCTCCCTCCTTGCATCACGTCTACTTTGTAAAAACTTGTCATATGCTAACTTTTTCTCTCTCGTTACTCTCTTTACATCATCATTCCCCAATCACTCTTCTTTCCTACCACACCCACTTTCCTGTAACTACAAACTTCTGCTGAACACTCTAACACTATATTCTTAAACTTACCCCATACATCATCTACCCCATTGCCTGTTTTATCACTAGCCTATTTATCCTCTTAACAGTTGTTTGTCTTACCCATAGGGTATTATTTTATATAATTGTATGATTATCCTTGAGTAGCCTCCCTAGGTCTAGGACTTCTATGATAGGTGTTTTTGACACAGTATTGTTAATATACAGATCTTTCTTTCAACACTCCAGCCGTATCCCACCGAGGGAGGGTGGCCCAAAAGGAAAAAGGAAAGTTTCTCCTTTCACATATAGTAATATATACAGGAGAAGGAGTTACTAGCCCCTTGCTCCTGGCATTTTAGTCACCTCTTACAACACTCGTAGCTTACGGAGGAAGAATTCTGTTAATATACAGATTTTTTTTTTAATAAACCGGCCGTATCCCACCAAGGCAGGGTGGCCCAAAAAGAAAAACGAAAGTTTCTCTTTTTAAATTTAGTAATTTATGCAGGAGAAGGGATTACTAGCCTCTTGCGCCTGGCATTTTAGTCGCCTCTTACAACACGCATAGCTTACAGAGGAAGAATTCTGTTCCACTTCCCCATAGAGATAAGAGGAAATAAACAAGAACAAGAACTAGTAAGAAAATAGAAGAAAACCCAGAGGGGTGTGTATATATATGCTTGTACAAGTATGTGTAGTGTGACCTAAGTGTAAGTAGAAAGTGTAAGTAGAAGTAGCAAGACATACATGAAACCTTGCATGATCATGAGATAGAAAAATGAACACCAGCAATCCTACCATTGTGTAAAACAATTACAGGCTTTCATTTTACACTCACTTGGCAGGATGGTAGTACCTCCCTGGGTGGTTGCTGTCTACCAGCCTACTACCTATTAATATACAGATATCTTATCTTTATATTTTCACTTAAATTTCATATAGCATAGACCATTTTTTTTTTTTAATTTTGGCTGCAGATTAAATGCAAAACTATCTTTTCAGGAATTTAAAAGTCAGTCTGGGCTCAGAGATCACATTCGATTGCATACTGGTGAACGACCCTTTGAATGTGAATTCTGCCAGATGAATTTTGCCAGGGCTTCCCATCTTAAACGCCATCGCCGCATGCATACTGGAGAGAAGCCCTTCATGTGTCGCATCTGTGGTAAAGATTTTTCCCGAGGAGACAAGCTGAAGGATCATCTGAGGAGACACGACGCCGAAGACAAGTTGAGTAAAATTCGCAAACAAATATATAATCCAGAAGAGAGTACACAAGAATCTGATTCTGAAACAGGTCAACAAGCTGGTGCTACAGCCCCCTCACAAGTATTAACTGCAAAATCTAGCAACACAACCCCTGACACTGCTTTAATGCCACCTGCCAAGCGGCCCAGGGGACGGCCCCCAAAAAACCCTCAGGCTCACTCTCAGTTTCAACAACAGGCAATGGTTCAGACACCTTCACTGCTTTTGTCACAGAATGAAAGTTACGTGCCTCACATGCTTGGCGTTACTAGCATTGGTGAATGTATTCTTAGACCTATCAATTAAAGGCATTCCCTGAATAGTTTCTGGCATTAAGAGTTTTGTAGATATATCCATCCATATACTGTGTTATAAAGTGGAAAGTGAATACAAGGGCGAGATGCCAAAAGGATGGAGTAAAAGACACACATGTAAAGCGAGCTCTTATTGTGATGCTTCTCTCAATGTATTCTTTATCAAGTCTTCATGCGTATTGAAACTTTTATCGCAAATAAAAAAGCTTGCTGTGCATGTAATGGACTGTCTTTTAATCCATAAAATGGAAAGGCTATTGTAAGGCTTTTTTTTTTATAAGATTATAAAAATTTAAGTTTAATCTTAGCCTGTAAGGTTTGTTTATATGATAGTCCACAACTTTCATTTGCCTCATTCCAAAATGCGTCTCCATAGGACATGATGTTTCATTTGAACATAAGTAATCATAATTTTCGTAGGTATGTCCAGTGGCATAATGACTGCTTTGTTAAATCTAAATAATTTTTTGTTTTTAACCATTGAACTATGTTAATTGTTTATTGATTTGATAACTGTATAACTTACAGTACTGTACTTCAATATTGGTTTGGGTAAAAATATATTCATTTAATTGTAATATACAATTATGATATTGCAGACTCGTTTGATTGGAAGTTGGTATCAGAGTTAGCTTTGAAAAGCGTTCAACCCTTGTGGCTTAGCGCTTCTTTTTGATTATAATAATAATAATTTGAAAAGCGTTCAGCTACTTGATTTTGTGTCTTTTTCTAAACTATTTATTTGTGGTTGCTCATCAGTGTAAAAGGTAAGTGATGTGGTAGATATGTTTCATGGTTTGATTTTTCTTTTGAAATTTTAAATGATCTACCCGGCTGTGAATGCAGATTAACATGACAAGGGGAAAAAGCTAACTGAATAACTACTTACGTTTGTCTGTATATTTTATCAGACCTGTTCTTGGCAAAATGTTATGTCACAAAAGTTACTCATATTTCAGTGTTAAAATTATATTGGTAATGCTTTCAGGCATTGCTAAGATCATTTTTTAATACTAGGGTGCGAAGAAGGAAACACATTCACTGTCATTCACTCGATAGTTTTCTTACCAGAAAAGTGTGGACATCATGATTTAAATGACTCTGTACTGTAACATCCCCACCTTTCTTTAGTGCTGAGAGTTATGTATATCTTTCTTTCTTTCAACACACCGGCCGTATCCCACCGAGGCAGGGTGGCCCAAAAAGAAAAACAAGAAGTTTCTCTTTCCAAATTTAGTAATTTATACAATAAGGGGTTACTAGCCCCTTCCTCCCGGCATTTTAGTTGCCTCTTACGACATGCATGGCTCACTTGGCAGGACGGTAAGTGTAAAACAAAAGCCTGTAATTGTTTTACATGATGGTAGGATTGATGGTGTCCTTTTTTTCCATTTCATAAACATGCAACATTTCAGGTACATCTTGCTACTTCTACTGACACTTAGGTCACACTACACATACACGTACAAGCATGTGTATACATACCCCTCTGGGTTTTCTTCTATTTTCTTTCTAGTTCTTGTTCTTGTCTATTTCCTCTTATCTCCATGGGGAAGTGGAACAGAATTCTTCCTCCGTAAGCCATGCGTTTCGTAAGAGGCGACTAAATTGCCAGGAACAGTGGGCTAGTAACCCCTTCTCCTGTATAAATTACTAAATTTAAAAAGAGCAACTTTCGTTTTTCTTTTTGGGCCACCCTGCCTCGGTGGGATACGTCCGGTTTGTTGAAAGAAAGAAAGATATATGTATTTTTAACGCCGAGGCAGGGTGACCCAAAAGAGAAGAATGCTTTCACCCTCCTTCACACATAATCACTATCTTTGCAAGGTGTGCAGATACTACGATAGTTCAGATGTCACTCCAAACAGCAAATATCCCAAACCCCTCCTTTAAAGTGCAGGCATTGTACTTCTCACCTCCAGGACTCGGTTCTGGTTAACTGGTTTCCCTGAATCCCTTCACAAAATATTACCCTGCTCACACTCCAACAGCTTGTCAAGTCCCACAAACCCTTCATCTTCACTCACTTAATCGAAGTATTTTTCCTTTTTAATTCCAAGTTTGTGATGATGATGCAAAGGAGATGCTTCCACAAGAGATGGTGAATGTGTTTCTTACTTTGGGTGGCTCTGCCTTGTTAGGAAATGGCCGATGTGTTAAAAAAAAAGTGTGAAGATGCAGTATATACGTAAATGGAGGATATGTATATTGTGGTTAAAGGCAAAATGCTGACTGTTAGGATAATACAAAGACACTTATTGGATAGCTAGTCTTTATTAGACAGACTTTTGCTTGAAGGTTCCTTTTAAAAGCACATCTTTGAATGAAATATCTGTGAAGAGCTTCCTTTGTTATAAGTGTCTTTGTATGTCATACGTTATGATAATGGAAATAAATCATCATAAATTTTTCTGAGTTCAACAAAATAGATTCATTTTAATATCAAGATCTGTTGATATGTCAAAAAATTTGGTGGTAATATTCTCAGTATCAAAATTTCTTCTCTAATCTCTTTGAAGATTGTGCAATAAATATATTGTAGATTATCAGTTATGTAACATACGTATATATATTTATAGGTTAATCATTTTGACATAGAATCCGAGTTAAAATGTCTAGGGAAAACTTTCTATTGCAAGTTCATTTCTATCCACAATTCGACATGCCATTCTTAGTCGTAATGTTACTGGTTGACTGGCAATTTATGACGCATTTGACAATCTTCGTTTTAAAAGAACGAACGAAAGCGTTACCCTTTAAGTGACAGGGATTTAGCTAGTCAGAAAACAGAATGGTGAGCAGCCACCTCTGTAAATACCATGACAAAAGTCACAAATGAAATGAATAATTTATTCCAGATAGTTTGACATGCTGAAGGTATGTTCATGAGGTGAACATATCTTTATTGTACAAGGTATGCTGATAGTAAGGTATATTTTATTGGTTAATTTTTTCTTTGGAATATAAAAAAAATATAGAAACATTACTTTGGCATTTATAAACATTGTATCTTTCATAATTTAAATCAAATATACATGCTAGAAGTAAATGGTATCTCAATCAATAACTAAATTGGTAATGATTACATTGATCTGATAGTGCCTTATTACACAATAATATAGTTAATTTTTATATTGAAAGTGAAGTTGTGAGGTAGGATACATTATCTTGAGGAATAATAACTTAGGATTAGGTAAATAAAAAAAAATGCCTTAGATGAGTTTAACCTCAAGGAAAGTTGGGATGTAGCTCAAGGTGTGGGGAATAACAAGCACTTGAATTAAGAGATTAGTTAACTCATTACTCTTGTAAATTTTGCAGTAAATGTTCACGAGTTATTAAGAATTTAGTGAAAATAAAGGATTTATATAAGTGAACATTTTCAAATACAGTAGGACCCCCGTATCTGCGGGGAGATACATTCCAAGGACCTGCCATGGATACTGAAATCATGGATAGTAGCAAACCCCATATATAAATCCTGTATATACCTATTATAAAGTTTAATTGATAAATTATGCACAATGAGTGGAGAATTATCACTTTTTCACTGATGGGAAGCAACACTTCACAGCTTCTTTTAGGCTTTGAAGAACTGCCAGCTTCTCTACTTTTGTGCTTGGGGGGCCATTATTATGCAAAATTAAGAGGTATTTTTGAGCCACTGCAAACCGTGGGCAACTGAAACCGTGGATACTGAACCAGTGGATACAGGGGTTCTACTGTATCAGTTAAATTTACCTTCAAGGAAATTACATATTGGCAGAAAATTGCCAAACTCAGATGTTTCATTCAATGCTGTAAACAGAATTCCATATATAAACAACAAGGGCCATATAGTGCCTTGGGATTGGGAAGTAATCAGGTTTGATCCAAGGAAGGACAACAGTTCCATTTCCTTGTATCAAGAGTCCTTCAATATATTTCCCTTGAAGGGATGGGTCACCTGTAGTTCTCCCTCTTCCCCTTCTCTACACCAAAAAAAAAAAATTAATTATAATTATTAAATTTTTAAAAGACTTACTTTGCATCAAAACAAACATGACAAATCTTGTAATAAAGTTGGTAGAGTTACTGATAATACGTTGTGTTAAGGGACATCCTTTCCAGGAACTTTGTCACACTTAACGAAGCTCCTGGAGAACAAAATATTGACATAATTAAATCTCTCATTCGTTTTCTAACATAATGTATCTTGCTGAAATTAATGTAAAATCAAATAACTAACTTAATTATATTTCATTGTTTTTGCCCCATATTCATAACGCACATCTTTATCTGCAGTCTTCATGATAATGCAATGTAAAAAATGTATTTTGATATCTTGAGATTACATTTTCATCGTGGCACTATGTTTTATTATATGATGTAATATGTTACATTTGTTCTTATGTTCATGGATCATTAGTTATACTCTTATAATATCTAACTTGCTATAGTATGCTTTTTTTTTTTTCACTGTAACTGTGATCATCATAGCATCAGCACTTTTCATAATCAAGTATTAGATAGATACATATGCTAAGATACATATATTAAGCTTACTGTATGTACTATGAGGTGTGTATATATACAGAAGTGTGCATGTACACGGAGTGCTTTCAATCCACTTTTAGGGATTAAAGCATTTTTGACTGGTGGTGTACATGTGAAATGCAGCCTTCATGACCCTTGTGTAGCAGATGGGTTTTAAATTTAAGAAACCAACCTTCTACATCTATATTGTAATGTTTCCCATTTGATATCTCGTGTACAGTTGTTGTTAACATTCAGGTAGTGTAAAGAAGAGCTGAGAGCAGCGATGTTGTCTTGTGATCCCAGTTGACTTTTATTTCTCTCCAGATATCATTCCATTCTGATGCTCAGTAACATATAATTTGACTTGTATAAACTTGAGTAAGCTTATGTGTTGTATTAAGTACTGTAGTTTAGTGTCATTTCACTGCAGCCAATATCATTAATGTATCATATTGTTAATCAAAATTTAGGAGGTACTGTACTGTACTGTAGTACAAAAGTCTTCATGTATATTATTAATGCTGAGCTATTAAAATATACGTGCATACAGTACATTTTATTGATGGACTACTAGGGCACCCATTGCCATTATGTGAGAATTCCGATCATTTTAACAGTTCAACATATATTCTGCTGAAATTTGAGATAATGAAAATGTTTGCAAAATCTCCAAAACTTTTGGCCCCTCTTCCATGTACCATCCATCTGTGAGAGGCTAAAGTGAAAACTTTTACAAGAACAATGACCCCCCCTAAAACTGCAAAGACATTATTTTGAGGATGTATTGAATTATTAGACAAGTAAAGAAGCTCTTAAGTGCATGGATCAAGCATCTAAATCAGTGAAATATGTCTAATAGTAAGAGAATAAGTCAGGAAAGGGCATGCACTTTATTTGCAGATCTAAATATATATGTATGACCCTTGTGGGTTTAGCACTTACTTTTCATTGTAATAATAATTGCAGATTTAGAGGTAAAAAACAATGAGCTTTTAGCCTTAAAAAACTTTCGTTGCTATTAGAGGTTAGTTTGCTAGGGCTAAAAAAAAAAAAAAAAATAGTGTTCATCCTTGTAAATTGAGCAGACAGACTGTTGCTCCTGCTGAAGATGGTGAAAAAAGCACAGTATGAGGATGTTTTGTTGGCAGTGATATGAGTAAGGTATGTATTTATCTGGGCGGGTGTTCACTGCTGAGAAACTGGGTTATTTTGAAAGAGAACACCATTCTGAACCTCACCAATTGAAGAAAAACTAATTGTCTTGCTTTTGAGGACAAAATCACAGCCTCTCCATCAATATCAAATGTATGAAAGTTATATGCGAGATGAAGGTAACAAATTGGTAAGTACAGTAAAGGACTTATTTTTATTGAAATATTACAGCATAAATACTATATTGATTCATTCTAGCGTGATTATTATATTTTCATGAATCACTACATTGGCGTGAGTCACTCGGTGCCAGGCCTAAGGCTCATTCCTCTGATCAGACACAGAAACTACTCTCGCAGACGGGCTTCCCAATGTTTAATTCAACAAACATGGTGTCTACGTAAGTAAATACTTTTATAACTGTTTTAGGGTCTAACATTTTCATTCCCATGAATTTGATTTTTTCCCTCCAAGAGTTTATGATTCCCACTAAAGATTGCTCCTGTAATATTAGGATTTTCTGTTCCCATCTATAAACGTAGGTATATCGAGATATGCCTGTGTACAGGTCAATAGCAGTCTTTGTAGCTGTTATGAGAGGATGCAAATACGTATATGATAATGATTTCTAAAGATTATGTGAATGCAAAAAGCCCTTGAAGCCAGTCTTTATGAAGGTGCACATTCTTTCCATTCATACAACGATAATTAGCAGCTACTTAAAATAGGTGCCTGGAAGACACCTATTCTCAGTAACTGCAAATTTGTACTGCAAATTTAGCACTTATTTCTTTATAACGAATGGTCTTTCATGGAAGATGTTTTAAAGGCAATGTAGGCTCTGTATGACTCTATGATGTTGAGCATTCTCAGTAAATTAAAAATAATTTCCTAATGATAATATTTATCAGGGCTAGCCTTTATTAGACATTTCACATTAATTTGAGCTTTATAAAATTCAACAGAGGAATACATCTCTGCGATTATAATAAAAGATAAGCTAGGTAATGACAGGTGAGAAATAGACCAGAATGAGGGGCACATGATATAATGCCAAAATGAGCATAACCTGTAAGTCATACAGAACCTGGGGAATAGGATGGTTGAAAGTATTCAGGTTTGACACAAGGATAGGAATTAGTTTGTCATTTGAAGTGCTAAACCCATAGTCATGTAGGGCCTGTGGAATGAGAGGCTCTCATGTTGGATCAATAGCCATTCATTGGCATCAATACACCCTTTTCCCTGTCGATACAACAATCTTGTTTGTTGAGGTCATGTTTCCTGTGAGCCTTGAGATTGAGTTCTTCTTTAGCTTTGGTCTCTCATAACAAAATATCTAGTGACAAATGTTTAGACAGATGTTAAAGTTTTGTTAATGGAATTCTCTCATGTCAGTTAGTGAAAATATAAAGTTTAAAACCTATATGTATTATTATATTATTATTATGGTAGGGGAGCACTAAATCCATTGGGATTGTTAGTGCCTATGGTAGGGGGAGGATGAAAGGCATTCAGGCTTAATTCAGGGAATTGGAACACATCCAATTCCCTAGATCAAGAGCCCCTTGCCAGCATCAAGGAACCTCCCTTGAGCAGTAAACTTATAGAATATGAAATGGCTATTAAGGCTGTAAATGACCTGTTCACTATGTGCCAGGTATATTCAGATTCTGAGTTAGGGATAAAACTCTGTATATTCACCATGAAATGCATATCTGTGAATATACCCTCCTGTTTGTCAGAAAATGGCAAACTCTCCTGAAGTGGGTCTTTGTCATGTATTAACCTTTTCAGTGATGAGGCAGCTACTGGCTTAAGAGTTAGGATTTCCTCTCTATTAGCAAAAAAACGAAGTGTGTACATGTTTGATTACAAGTTTGGCATTATGATGTCTTGTATGTTACGAGGTGTGGGTTGTGTTACGCATCTGTGACCTATTTCGAGGTTTCTTCTTCCCTCACAGCCTGGCCACAGACCAGTCTTGTGTGTTAACTGCCTGGTCCACCAGGCTGTGTTGGTGGCCTGCAGTCCCACATAGCCATCACAGCCCAGTTGATCAGCAATTTGCAGATGGCAATCAAAGTCTTCTCTTGGAAATTTCTGTCTTTGTTTTGACAACATGTTGTGATGTGGAGCCATATCTTTCCTTTGGCCTTATTGGTTACCTTGGATCTTCCATCTTTTTCTTGTGATCTTCAAGCAGTTTCACAGCTTCAACTGTTTACATGCTTTATGACTCAAGGTCTGGTATAAGAATGTATAAGAAAAAAAAAATTGGCACTTGGGGCTCTTTATTTTATAAGTAAATATACATATCTTTACTCTGACTGGTGAGAAAAAGTCAAAGTTGCACATTTATATAAAATATTGACAATGTCTTGGACGTTACATAATGAGTGTGAGCACGACCTGGCTGCCTTTCAGGAAGGGGCAGAAACGTTATCACAACACTTTTCTTCCCGGTTCACATCAAGCCAACACTGGAGATGAAACTAGACAAAGTTTAGGCCATCTTGGACTATTATATTAAGTGGAGCACTAAACCCGTAAAGGTTATATAACGCCTGGGTAGAAAGTCGAGAGATCGTCACTGCCAGAAAGCTAGATTTAACGTTTGCTTGCGCAATTAACAAGTTGAATTTATGGTACTGGACAGATAGAAATATTGTCTAGTTTTATCTCCAATTTTTGGATCAGTTGTCAATTGTTCCAGCCATGGTACTATTTTGTGACATTTACTCTTATAGTTTCCTCTCCTGTATAATTTCCACATTAATCAGTTAAGACAATTTAAGTACTGGCCATTAAATCACTGGCCTCTAAAGTCACCTATTTAGCATTTGCAATGATCAGCAGTCACGGTGATGCTAATCTTGCTAGTCAATAAATCAGACCTTCAGTAATTGGCTCAAGCATTAGGCTTGGCTGTCACTCTGGCACTGATTATGTCTGTCTAGTTAGTAGTCTTCAGTGTTACCTTAGTACCCAACACTTGCCTCAGGTATATGAACTGCACTCAAAGAAGACTGTCTTAGGATTAATAACATTGGAAAATTAATAACCCTAATATCCCAAGAAAGTCGAGCAGTTTGGCTTATTTCCATTGGAGTCCTTTTAGGTCCTCAAAGGAGTCTCTCAACAGCTACCTCATAAGTACTGTTGGCTGAGCATGGGTAACAGGTACTGGGAAACATTCCCATACATGTTGCCTTTTTTTACGAACTGAACCTGGGTCCTTTTGGTTGAGCCAAGTACTTTACCATTGAGCTACAGGTCAACTCAGGTACTGGTCTTTTGTCACTGTCATTCAGGTCAATGGTATATTTGTCAGATGGTCTGTTGGTCCTCAGTTGCCTAACATGCACCTTATACCATCTGGCACACCTTACAAGGTGCTGGCAGTGTTCTATTACATAGATATTTCCACTTAAGCCACTGAAATTGAGGCACTTGTCCATATTTGTGTTTTCATTGGTCACTACTAACATCACTTGTCACATAGTCATGCTACAACACACACCTGTCCTAGTCACTTACAAAACATTTGTTATTCATTTACAGTGTGTTAAACACAACTAACACGAGCTTGAGGCACCACGACGGGTACACTCTACTCACAGACTAACTACATGCTAAGAGTCTAAGATCCACTGAGTACATGAGAAGAAGGTGGACTTGTTTGGGCAAGAATGAATGATTTGTGATTCACAGCGAGACGTGACACCTGAGTATTGTTGAGGAATCGGTATAGTGAATATGCCATTAGCAACATGAGGCTTGTGACACATTCACCAGGAGTTTATCATACTGGTATAAAGCAATGACAGTAGGCCTACAAGATATCCTGAGTAAAGCTTAAGAAAGCTATTTTACATAAAAGGCTGGGAGGTCAGCATTAGCTTTGATATACCATATGCAATTAACATAACTTTTAATATGTGAAATCTGCTGAACTTTAATACAGAACTGCAAGCAAAATTATCATACATGAATTCTGTATGACCATAGACTTCACCTTAAGGGAAGCAAGTGTCAAAGTACCACTAATGTCCAGATGAATAAAACTAACATTCATCATTTAATAGTGAAAGTTTTAAGATTTGTTGCACAAGTTGTGAATATACAAAAAAAAAAAAAAAATTCTGACCAGCCTATGTAGCGCTGAATGACCTAGACAGGCTTAGCGCTTATTTGAGAATACAGTATATCATTAATAATCGGACCAGCTTGGCTAGAGGTACATGAAGTAATGACTTCATTTCTCTTCATGTTGCCAAAAAATTACCTTTCTCCAAATCAGAAATGAAATTAAATACATTTTGGTATGTCCTAGACCATTATTGAGATCTGGAATAACTTTAATGGTCCAGGATGGACTGCAATGTCATCCAGTCTTCACCTCTAATTTGTGGGTTCGATGTGAAGTGTGGAAAAAGACACTTAAGTACAGTTCAGAACATTTATTAGAGGAAACATTTTTGCCACTTGTGGCAAAACATTTCCTCGAATAAATGTCCTGAAGTGTACATAAGTGTCTTTCTCCACATCTTGTCGGTATCACCAGACCATTTTTTTAGATGTGAAGTATTCCAGCCGTGATATTCTGACTTATTCTTCTTACCCTTTTCAAGCTTGTATGCAAAATGACTGGGGTGCTACCGTCCTTGTGACCTTAGTTGCCAAATTACAAATTCTCTTCTAAATGCTGCTTCCATATTGACAACACAACTACACCTAGTGTCTTAACTACCAACAAGTCAAAAGTATATTTTCTGCCAGCTAAAAATGGAATTACAGGTAAATTCCATATAAAAGTGGCTACTGTATTTAGTATAATGTCTTTTACACAAGCAAAATTATCTAAATATAGAATACAGTAAGCTTGGCAGTAAATTAGTTTTCATTACCCATTTCATTACTAATAAAATCTGACACACACTGTTTTTGGTGATGCATCAGTCAGACTGTAGGTGATCCACTTTTCTGGCACCCACAAATCTTTTATCAACTCCTAATTTGTAGAATCCCAAAATATCACTATTTGGCACTCCTCTATTTATAAAAAAAAAAAAGGGCTAAAAATGTAGTAAACCTTAGCACCTGTTGAACTGTAAGAAATATCCCCCCCCCCCCCAAGAGAAGCTCAAGGCTATGATTAACTAATGTTGTACTGCTCTCTCTATAGAGTAGAGGAAGACTTTCAGATAACCTGTTCTCCTAGCATCAACATAAATTTGCTACGTATTTACATAAGCCAATTTCTCTACCTACGTTCTATAGGTAAGGTTAATATCAATCAGTTACAAGGAAATGCCAATAAACGCAATAATTCATATAAGCATAACAGAAAATGAGGAGCCACTGAGAGGACCAGATAAGCATGATATAAAGAACCCACTTAAAAATTTTAGCATCAGTCACTTTACAGATGATCTGGAGCCAAAGTAAAATTAAAAAAAAATGTTTGCTTAGGAGGATGGGCTGAAGGTAAACTGCTAACAATGTTTAGGCCCTACAGAAGCTTAGGAAATATGATTTTTTTGTATAATAACTTACTGCATTTGCCTTACAGTAAAATTTTATCTCCTGTAATGTTTTAGTTTTGTAAAGTAAGGCACAAGTAGCGCTGGCAAGTGTGACCCTGAAATCAGCAGTTGTAGCTTAATGTTGAAACTAGGTGATGTACATTACTGTAAACAAGAGAATGCTCTTATGAGAAGTGACAATAATGGTGTGATGCTTGCTGACACGAAAGATTTTAAAGTCGAGACATTCATACATAGCAATAATGAACAAAATATTGATCACAAGTACATTCAGTTGAATGAGAATCCATTATATACACAAATTACATATATACTGACAATTGTGTGAGTGACCATAGCAAGAAAACCTTTGTTCTCTCTGTACTGTATAACCTTCTAAGCCGAGACTAATGAATATCTCTGTATGTCCTCGTACATCGGGAGATTATCACATTCACTCTCCATTTTAAAACCTGCTATGATATATTTCATCCATAACAAATATTTACTCATATACATCAGAACTGTTACTAAAGGTTTTTCCTTTGGAAAAAAAAGAAAAGTCCTCTAGGACTAGGAATGACTACTGGTAGGCTCTCCAAGGAGAATATATGATTCTAGTGGTGGAGGAAGACCCAGTTGGGGAGTTCCTGAGTGTATTCTCTTTGGTGTGAGTGAGTTGCGGACAGTGCGCCAGCAGAGTGAAGCAAGCGTCGCTGGCTGTGTCCAATGGGGCATCATGAGTGTCTTCAACTCTAGGAACACCGGTCCCAGTACCTGACGGAGGAAAAGCATTTCTTAGTGGAGGAGAAATTTACAATATATAAGTGTGATGTACTGTGCTGTATTCTTATATTTTTAACATTTGACTAGTTAAACAGTATTGCATTTTAGGGTTAAAGTCAAGAGCAGGAGAAAGACATTCACCCGCATTTCAGTGTTCAAGTGAAGAGCTGTTTTGGGACATTTTTATTTTTAGATATGTTTAGCCTGGTATTATCTTTATAAAATTAAGTAGGCTTATTACTTTATAAGGCTACACATAGCAGTTGTGTTCATGGAGGCTTCACCAAACAAACAACAAAAAGGCATGAGATGTGAGGGAGGTGGAGAGGTAGCTGGCCAACCCACCAATAGTGCGAAGAATTTGGAGTTTATGGTGTCAATTTAAAATCTCTTCCAAAGCCTTCATCTTGTATAACTTATGTTATTGGCACCTACCTTATAACATCTAGATTGTCTGAACATTGTTCTCAGAACATGCTGATACATTCTTCTGGGGTTGTCCGCCATCATGTGTGAAAGAATCGAGACTGTGTAGGAACAGTTCTCTAATCTGCGGTGTGTGATCACAGCCTGTGTAACAAACGTTGTTTAGTTATTAAATATGTTAAGTTAAAATTATATGACAAAGAATGGTTTCAAGAATCATTTACATTCATTGGATATTGTAAAAATGAAATATTCTCATTTTTTTTAATACGTACTGTACTCTGTGATAATTACAACAATCTCAAAAATACACTGGAAAAACATGCATCTACTGGGTAAGCTTCACCTGCCTTAAGGAACCAGGTAAAGATGCTTTGGTCTTTGTCGCTACCATCAGCAGCACCCCACACAGACGCCCCATGATTTAACAAGGTCCGTGTGAGAGGCAAGGAGTCGTCTAGGTACTCTACACTATATGTAAGAAGTGTTCGACCCTACCCAAAAGAGAAATTTAGACAATATTTTAATAAGAAATTTTTATTTCTTGCTGTTAATATAAGCTTAATATATGGTGCATTACTACCACTGAATACTGTATTCTCTGAAAATATGAAATACAGTGGACCCCCGACTTACGATATTAATTCATTCCAGAAGTCTGTTTGGGTGCCGTTACCAAACAAATTTGTTCCCATAAGGAATATTGTAAATTAGATTAGTCCATTTCAGACCCCCAAAAATACACTTACATAATTGTTCGAGTTGGGAGCTGATCGTAAGGCGGGGGTCCACTGTATTGTGTTTGGCCAAAAGAGGGAAAAAGTATGACAGCATAGTGGTATCAATCCTTTTAAATACGCTTAAGACATTCAATTGGAACAATCCAACAAGGAGGCTGGAGATGTTATGTTTGAGATCAATGTATGGTGTGAACTTCATACAAAGAATCTGGAGCATAACAATTAGAAGTTGGAGTGGAGTTATGAGAACAGAGGAAGGGTTGTTAAGGTGGTATGTGCATTTAGAGAAGATGGAGTAAAATAGAATGAGCAAGAGGGTGTATAAATCTAGGGTAGAAAGAAGAATGGATAAGGATAATTCCTGGAAGGGTTAGAGTTAGGATGTAAAGGTGGTTTTTACTGGTAGAGGTTTGAGTATCCAGCAGGTGTGTACGAGCATGTAAAATCTGAGTTCTTAGTTTTTATTGCAGTAATAATAATAATGATGATCTTACTTGATTTTGGAGTCTAGGCAAGGAAATGTTTAAAGAAAGATTCAGGAAAATCAGTTAGCCAGGCTTGATTCCTGGAAGTGAGAAATGCAGTGCCTACATTCTGAAAGAAGACTTGGTGGGTATGTTACAGTTCAGAAAGTCATTTGAACTGCTATATCTGCTCACTTCTGGCATGACAGCTACTGAATGAATGAATGAATATGAATATTTCATTTACTGTTGCTCTACTTTGGTGGTGGAATATGGATAGTGTGACAAAAAAAACTTTTCTGTACTACAGTAGGTAACAGATTGCTTTCTTCTCAGGACATAGTATTGTACAGGTGAAGAGAGGGATGCAGTGTTGCTAGTGAAGTGCTTCCGATCGAAATGAGTTTAGTGCTTCCTTATCTACATAAAATTTATGATAATTTTCAGGGTATTTGGAGAGCTTTAAAGGAGGGGTTTGGGATATTGGCAGTTTGGAGGGATATGTTGTATATCTTTATATGTAAATGCTTCTAAACTGTTGTATTCTGGGCACTTCTACAAAAACAGTGATTATGTATGAGTGAGGTGAATGTGTTGAATGATGATGAAAGTATTTTCTTTTTGGGTATTTTCTTTCTTTTTGGGTCACCCTGCCTAGGTGGGAGATGGCCGACTTGTTAAAAAAAAAAAAATCTATATTGAGCACGTATACAGTAATATATAAAAAAATAAATTTAAAAAATAGGTTTAGCTCTTCTTTTTGATTATAATAATAATTAAAAGAATCGTCTTTTCCATTATAAAGATAACTGTGAACTTGATGATCATTGTTAAGTTTACCTCATTGTTGGCAGCATCGACTTGTGCACCAGCCTGGAGGAGTATGTGAGCGACATATGCAGCCCGGTCATAGAGGCCCTGCCTCAGCAAGTTGCGCACGGAGTGTAGTGGCGTTTCTCCTGCATGATCTTTACAGTTTACATCAGCACCATGCGCCACCAAGGTTCTCAGTGCCTCCACCACACTGCTGCTCCGCACATCACCTGCAATACAAAATTTGTGTAGATCTATACACATTAATATGAAACTTTTTTTTTTTTTTACCACTAGCCATTTCCCAAGGTATGATGACTGAAAAGAAACATTAATCATACTTCAAGGAAAATGCAAGCATCACAATTAAAATGACCCTCTGAACAGTAACATCCCCAATCATCCTTCAAAGTGCAGGCACTGTACTTCCTACCTCCTGACCTTCATAGATAAAGTTATTTGTCTCCACAGATACCTTAATGCACCACCTACATTTTCATTGCCCACTTCTATGCTTTTTTTTATGTACATTATTTCCTAAGAATGTCAGCATTAATCAGGTTAAGGCAATAATTAAAGACTTCTAAAACAAAAATGAGCAACATTTGAATCATTATTACAATAATGGGGGAAATGCAAAACCCATAGGGTCATACAGCTCCTGGGGAAGAGGAGGCAATTGGATTTGATCCAAGGAAGGGGAAAATTGGCCCAATTCCTTGGAGCAAGAGCCCTTCAGCATCAAGGTACCTCACTTGAAGGGCTCAAATCTGAAACAAAATTTATTATAGGAAAAGAATTTAGCAGTATACTATTGTATTTGCAGATTCTGATTGTGTGAGGACCTTCAGGAACATAATTTCTGTTAATTCTGGGGTTCACTTGTATATGCTTTTATAAAGTTACAACAACTAAAGCATTTTCATTAGTTAAAATACAACAGATTTGGAGCACTCAAGCCAATTCACACAGTAGAATTTGCTGTACGTATATGAAATGAGTTAGGTGTAGACTTGTCATAAGGAGTACATGAATGGTATACAATACCGACAAGATGAAAATTAGAAACATATGCAACATCTGGGTATCTTTAACGTAGACGTTTCGCCATCCATTGGCTTTATCAGTACAAATTCTAGGACACAGATGAGGTAATCCATCCCTCGGCCTTGTAGTTGGTGTGAAGAGCGGTGCTCTTCACACCATCTCCAAGGCTGAGGGACTGATTACCTCATCTTTGGTATATAGTTCTACTGTCTTCAAATTATGTCCTAGAATTTGTATTGATAAAGCCAATGGATGGCAAAATGTCTACATTAAAGATACCCAGATGCTGCATATGTGTCTAATTTTCATCTTGTTGTAAGGTGGCAGTGACTGAGGGGTAACCTACCCAAGAGGAGAGCATGGAGTGGTGTCTGACCCAGCAAGTTTGGTTCATTCACAGCAGTACTTGACACAACCAGCTTGCTCACCAGGGGCCCAGGCTGTGGCAGCAGACACGCTACATGCAGTGCTGTTGGTGTGAAGTTCTGTGGAGAGACCCCAGCAAGGCACATTAGTCAACATGCATTTATTGTTCATTTGTGTTCCACACTGGCACGAGTACAGAATAGATTATTCTTATTGGCTTTCACAAGTACAATGCTCTTTTCTGGTTTGTTATATCACAAAAATAATTACATTTGTATAGTATGATTTCTGCCATGCAATGATATGAATGACAGTTGTGCATTGGTTTACTGTGACATAATTGCTGTTAATGCAACTATTTATTTATTTATTTATTTATTTATTTAGAAATTTTAGCATACAAACAGAGGTACAAAAAAATACAGGTAAGAGCAGCATGCCAAAGCCACTTATACTATACTTAACTATACTTAAAATATGACCCAATTATTTTTAAATTTATAGGTGCTTCTTGATTTACAATGGGTTATGTTCCAATAAACTCATCTTGAGTAGAATGTAATTTTTTTTAATAATCTGGCCGTTTCCCTCCAAGGCAGGGTGACCCAAAAAGAAAAAAAGAAAAAACTTTCATCGTCACTCAACACTTTCACCATCATCCATACATAATTACTGTCTTTGCAGAGGCAGTCAGATATAACAGCTTAGATATCACTCCAAACAGCCAATATCCCAACCACCACCTGTACGTACTTCCCACCTCCAGGACTCGAGTCTACCTAACTGGTTTCCCCGAATCCCTTCACAAAATATTACCGTGCCCACACTCCAACGGCTCATCAGGTCCCAAAAACCATTTGTCTCCATTCACTCCTATCTAACACTCGCACGCATGCTTGCTGGAAGCTCAAGTCCAAGAATGTATGCTAGATAAATAAGTAAATAAAAAAAGTAACTCTAAATAAGTAAATAAATACATAAAGTTACTGTAACTAACTAAATACCAGTATTCAAAAGTAAATAGATGAGCACAAGTTATGAACTTGCTGCCTTCGTACTGGGTAATTATCTTAAGTTTCACCTTGAAGGTAACTGCTTTTGCACCATTGTAAAGTTAACATATCCTAAGTCGAGGAGCATTTGTAATTCTGCTCCCTACTTTACCAATGTGCTTCCATGGCTCCCTCTTACTGGCCATGGTTGTTTCCATCATGAGACAAATTGTCTGTTACTGATACACTACAATAAATTTAGAGATAAATGGCATATACTCAACAGAAAGACTGAAACTGACACACTTAAAATTTTGCTCATGTTTTTTTTTTCATGTACAAAAGGCTTTAAGGGAGCAAGGGGCTAGTAACCCCTTCTGTACAAATTACTAAATTTAAAAAGAGAAACTTTCGTTTTTCTTTTTGGGTCACCCTGCCTCAGTGGAATATGGTCAGTTTGTTGAAAAAGAAAAGAATAGGCTTAAAGTCAACACTATGATATACAGTCAGCATATTTATACATGAGTACAGGCAGGATAACCACTGTGAAAAAATAGAATTCCAAGCGCTTTTGTGATAATGTGAGAAATCACAAAAGTGCTTGGAATTCTACAATTTTTTCACAGTGGTTATTCTGCAAATTGTGATATCACCTGTTTACTGTGATCTTATTTTCATAAGTACAAAGAGATAAAACTCCATGCCTCATGTTCTGGAAAGAGGCTCAATTAGTAGCCTATGCAAAGAAAAACAAAATCACAAGAATGGCTGGAAGTGGCCTGATCTGTTCACACAACACCACTGAGCAGAATCAGGGGGCTTTAGCATAGCTAAACCTTTAGATCTTCTGTTGCAAAAAGCAGAAAATCTACCAATGGTCCCAAACATACAAAAAATATAGTATGCAGCAGGCTTCCTACATTAGTTCCTGGCCTAAGTAGTAGGCTGCCTGCAGTGCTTCACCACTTGCTGCCCATGCACTGATCTCATACCTTATCTTCCCGATTATTTACTTGCCCGCACTTGACCCTATGCTGGTATAAATACTGTATGCTTGCTGTGTATTATTTTGTATAGGGTTGGAAAAGTCTGTTGTACAGGTGAAATGTTTCAAATATTTTGCTCTGCCCACAGTGAATTTACCAAGGTATTTCTGTATACAGCATAGGTATACAAGTTATCAGAGTTTCAATACAATAGCTTGCTCTGTTTAGATCAAACAACACAGCTTGCTAATGTTTGCAAATATCTCACAGCACAAATACCAGTGTTGCCTAGACACACTGAATTTAGCAGTATACCTCCCAGGCTCAAGTTAACCTAGTAACACCATCCAAATATAAATACTGACCTGCCCTACCTCCATCATTGGTGTTCTCCTACATAAACTTAAGACAATTTCTCTCCAAAAAGTATGCTGCTCAGGCTGTTTGATAGCTTTATTATGCAAGCCACACCCATCTAGTGGGAGGTAGTCAAAAGATTACAGAGGCACAGAATGGGCCCAGGGATTTGAACCACACATTCTGCTAGCTAAACAAATTACAATAAAATGAGATACTGCAATTTTCAAAATACCAGTACACCTAATTAACAATAATTAAGAGTTGATTAGCCAGTGAATTCACTCACAAACTTTACAACGAAGCAGAAGTTAAAGTAATGTCAATTAACCAAATTTAACCAATTATAACAGATGTATTAATAGTAATAAATACAGCCTCTCCTCGCTTAGCGATGTACTCGTTTACAGATGCCTCGGACTTACAATACGCTCACTGACCAGTATTCATACCTAATTAATGTATATCAGAACTGATTTCCTGTATTCTGTTTATTTCAATATGCAGTACACTACACTATATTTAAAAATATACCAGAAATGTTATACAAAGTCATTACCATTATAGTATGCTCCTCACTTAGCGATGAATTCGTTTAACGACGTGGTCTCGGGAACGGAACTCTGTCATTAAGTGAGGAGAGGCTGTACAATAATATTCAAAGATAAAAAATGTTTTAACGTACGTACAAACAGAAAACAAGGATACACTGAGAAGACCAGAAGAGCACAGATAATAAAACACTGTTAATATCTTAATGTCAGTCACTTTTCTATGGTTTTCAAGCCATGTAATAACCTGAAGTTTGCTAGAAGGATGGGCTGTAACTATAGGCAATAACTGCAGACACTGCTATTGTTTCCTCCCATATCCAGGAAGTATCAAACATAAAAAATATGCTGAGCACATAGGAATCAAAGCAACAGTTGATTCTGGATGAAAATGAATGAGACACTAAACTCACCTCTATATCTATAGAGTTTTCCTGCTCCTCATAACCAAACAGCAAACTGCAAATGGTGAAGCTGTCACACCCCCGGCATTTGGATAAACTTTTGACTTTGGCATCTGAAAAGGAGAGAGAGATTTCTAGTAATGCAAACACAATTTTCAAAGACAACTGGAAATAGCTGACTCAATATAACAGCAGGAGGTAGACATGGAGGCCTGAAGCATTAAAATTTTTTAAAAGTTCTACTGTAAGGTAGTTTTAGACACTAGAAAACTTGGTCATATTACATTATTTTTGGTAAGCAGGGCAAATGCGCTCAAAATGAATTTAGATACACCAATAAAATGAGGAAAACTAGCCCCAAATACAATACTAAAACTGAGTTAATATTTTATTATACATCAGTGTTTTTTTTCTGGCTTGACACAAAATTGGAAAAGTTTTAAGAATATTTGTTTATTTAAAGAATCAGACACGTTTGACATATATTTAAATTTAAAAAATTTTGATTTTTTTTTTTATCATTGAGAAATATTTTTATTTTAAAAACCACTAAAAAACTATGGTTATAGCAACATCTGTGATAAAAAAAAGGTGTTTCTTTGAGGTATTGGGAAAGGGAAAAGGGGGAACTTCTACCATGTTAAAAAACACCCAGTCAGTTATTTTTCCCAGTTTATTCCACTGATAAATAACGGGGTGCCGTCATTAAACAAAATAAAAAGGGTTAGTACACAGATCTGGAGGGGTAAAATGAAGGATTTAAAAAAGTGAATTGGGAAAGAGAAAGGTAACAGATATGGTAAAAAAAAATATGGGCAATGAGAGATTGAATATAAATTCAAGGGGGGGATTTGAAGGAAGTTAAGTGTACTTTGATTTTAGGATGGACTTGCGGTAGATGGTTGATAAGATGAGGTGCACCACAGAATTGTGGGGGGAAAAAAAAGGTGGGTGGTGCACCGGCCATCTGTGGACAAAAGAACTTTATCCAAAAAGGAAAAAAAAGGGAATGGGGTTGAGAACTGTCCAAAAATTGCTATAGGGTGTGAAACAGGGTTTTAGATGTTGCAGCAAGGAGGAGGTTGGGGGAAGAGATGTCTATTTTTATGGCAGTGTGTGGGTGCAAATTTTATGCAAGAAATTTTGAGTTTGGAGATTAAAGTTGTGGGGTTACTAAAAGCATTCAAAAGCAAGGGGTGTTGAATGGTATGGGCATTTAAAAAGTATGGTGCAAAAAAGATGACTGGGCAGGCATTTTAATTGGGGGGGGAGAAGGGGTCCAAGTTTTGACTTTTAATAAGACTGGGTACTCATAAATTTGCTTTGGATTTTTTTCCCGGTGGACCCCCAACTGTCAATTATACATTAAAAGATACCTAGCAAAACAATATCACCAATAGCTACAGTAATACAGTATTGTGTGTGTGGGCATGGGGGGCAGGAATAAATTAAAAGAGGGACTAAGTGGTACAACCAATGGGTACAACCAATGGGTACAACCAATGGAAATTTAAAAATTTTAAATGAAAAAATTACTGAAATGGAAAAACCATAACAGCATTTCTTCTGTTTCTACAAATATGTAATTACTGTACATGAACTACCTACCTTGGTACACATATGGGTCAGCCTTGGGGCAGCCATCAAGGAGGTCGGCGAGGGTGAAGAGCTGCTTGTGGTGTGTGTATGGGAGGCGTGCCACTAGGGCTCGTCCTCCTCGCGTGCCCCCACCACTGTCACGCCCACATCCCACTGAAGGGGCCATCGACTCCTTCTCAACAGCTCCTCTTAGCTGCTGGAGTGCACGGCAAACTGACCCATCTCTGTAGGAAGAGAGGTTGTAGTCTAGTCAATCTGTGGTTTGATATTCAACAAATTGCAAAAGAGATAATTTCTGTTGTAACTACTCCATAAGCAATAATTAATAACATTAAAAATTAGGTGAATATGGGAAGTGGAACATTAAAAATTTTTATGTTTAAACGGAGATTCCCGATTCAGATATTTTTCTTTATTATTGCTTTGGTCACTTCCATTTTTCCTTTTAATACTGTACAGCTTCAGTCAAGCATGTTTTTGGATGTGCTCGGTCTAGGGATGCTGAGCATATTTTAAGATTTTTTGTCAGCTTAATATTCAAATTTCCAAAAATTTTAGGTTATTTGGGGCTGTCTGTTGGAAACTATTTTAAAAATGAAAGATGCTCAGCATAACCTACATAACCAAAAAATGAGCACGACTGAAGAGATAATAAAAGACAAAATAAAAATGACTGAAGCGTTACTAAAGAAAAATGATCTAACTTGCAATAAATATCTCCTGAACCTACACTGTTTTCAGTCGCTGAAGAATGCTATATAAGTTTTTTTGCTTTTGTTCAGATCTGATGAGTATAGACTGTGTGATCTGCAAGGATCCTTTGGTGAGCAGTCAACATACTGTGGTACTTTAAGAAATGGGAAGCAATGGAATTGAGTGAGGAAGTAAAGTACAATAAGATGACATCTGTTGTTGAATCTCTACATAAAATTAATGCAGACATGAGAACTGCAAAAGAAATATTGCAGTATCAGTCATGACTTGAAAAAAATAAAGATGGAATAATTTATGAGTCATACTCCTTTTTCTTATGAACATAGGTTCAGTGTCAACAAACATTGCATGTTTTGCAGTCATCCTGTAAAATACCTGGGAAAAGAAGGGTTTGTTGTCTTCCCCGTAAGAACCACAGACTTTCAATCAACTCTCCAATACACATGCAAAGAGCATAGTGATAGCTGGGTTTGCAATGTTTGTCAGATCATGTCAGCACATGATTTAATTGTTGCAGATTCTAGTTACTATTCTAGTTACTGTCAGTAAGCAACAACAAACTTCTGAACAGGAAAAACTGGTTCAAATAGGCTACTAGTCCACAAGCCACACTAAAAAAAAATCTATACTGAGTCAAAATACTGAGATCATTGCAACAGTGATGAATTAAGGACAATTGGTAACTTCAACTATACAAGATCTTCACAGAACCTAATCTCATCAGACACCGTTGTTCAGAAGCCTGCCTTACCCTAACGTAAATTTGGAGTGGCCAAGATCCCAGTACAGAAACATTTTCGTCAAACATGTCCTAGTAATTGCATTTTGCGTCTTTCTCCATTACTTATCAGTATCACATACAGGAAGGCCCCGCTTTACAGCACTTCTTTAGTGTTTCGCTAATACAGCGGTTTTCAAGGTAAATAATGTGTGTACTGTATATGCATTTTTTAGGCCTATCTCTATAGCTCACTAAATATATGATCGTGTTAAAGTGTTATCAAGCTTTTATATACATTTGAAAGTGAAAAAAAGCTGTTTCACTTACAGTAATTTTCGCTTTACAGCAGTTGCCCGGAACCTAAACTGTGTAAGTGGGGCATCTTAAGAACATAAGAACATAAGAACGAAGGAACACTGCAGAAGGCCTACTGGCCCATGCGAGGCAGGTCCAAGTCTCCTACCGGCTTAAGCCAATGCACCCAACCTAGACAGGTCAGGTCACATTGACTTAAGGGAGGAACACGGCAACCGACCTGTTAGCACAAGCTATCAGGTCTAACTCACACCCACCCACATCTACTCATGTATTTATCCAACCTACTTTTAAAGCTACACAACGTTCTGGCCTCTATAACGGTACTTGGGAGTTTGTTCCACTCATCCACAACTCTATTACCAAACCAGTACTTTCCTATATCCTTCCTGAATCTGAATTTTTCCAACTTAAAACCATTGCTGCGAGTCCTGTCTAGGCTAGATATTTTCAGCACACTATTTACATCCCCTTTACTTATTCCTGTCTTCCACTTATACACCTCAATCATATCCCCCCTAATTCTACGTCTTTCTAGAGAGTGCAGTTTCAGGGCCCTCAGTCTATCCTCATAGGGAAGGTTTCTGATACATGGGATCATCTTTGTCATCCTCCTTTGTACATTTTCCAGAGAATTTATATCCATTCTGTAATACGGTGACCAAAACTGTGCAGCATAATCTAAATGAGGCCTAACCAAGGATGTATAGAGTTGAAGAACAACCTGAGGACTCCTATTATTTATGCTTCTTGATATGAAGCCAAGGATTCTATTAGCTTTATTGCGAACACTTATGCACTGTTGTCTTGGTTTCAGATTACTGCTAACCAGAACTCCTAAATCTTTTTCGCAATCCGTAATATTAAGATCTACATTATTTAGTTTATATGTGGCATGGTTATTGTCCTGTCCAACATTTAGAACTTTGCATTTGTCTATATTAAACTGCATCTGCCACTTCTCCGACCACTGCATCAGTCTATTCAAATCTTCCTGGAGTGCTCGAATGTCCTCGTCAGAATGAATTCGACGGCCTATTTTGGTGTCATCGGCAAACTTGCCGATGTCGCTCTTTATGCCCTCATCTATGTCGTTTATGTAGATTGTGAACAGCAGGGGGCCCAACACTGACCCCTGTGGAACACCGCTCGTGACGCTACCCCACTCTGATTTCTCCCCATTTATGCAAACTCTCTGCTGCCTATTTGTCAACCATGCCTCTATCCAGGAAAAAATTTCTCCTCCTATTCCATGTGCTTTAATTTTCCTCAATAGTCTCTGATGTGGGACCCTGTCAAAAGCCTTACTGAAGTCCATATACACAATATCATATTCATTACCATGATCTACCTCCTCAAATACCTTAGTGAAAAAAGTTAATAAATTCGTAAGGCAGGAATGCCCCTTTGTAAAACCATGCTGAGATTCGTTGATTAATTTATGCTTTTCAAGGTGGCTACGAACTGCCTCGGCAATTATTGATTCCATAAATTTTCCCACTATGGAGGTTAGGCTTATTGGTCTATAGTTCGAAGCTAAGGACCTGTCACCTGTTTTGAAAATAGGTATCACATTTGCCATTTTCCACTTATCTGGCACCATGCCAGTTTGTAGTGATATGTTGAAAAGATTAGCCAAAGGTGTGCTAAGCTCCTCTTTACATTCCTTTAGAACCCTTGCATACAGTTCATCAGGGCCTGGGGATCTTGTACAGTGTCACCTTCACACACACTTGTACATATATTTTACCATTGATATATGTCCTTCAAGAGGCTCTTCATCCAAGGAACTGGACTTATCTTCCTCTTCCTTGGATTGAACATCAATGCCTCCCATTTTCCAGGTGCTATATGACCACTACAGGTTTAACGCTTCCTTCTGATTAAAAATTAAATTACCATTAATAAACACTGCCTGTAAACATTTATTATTATTATCATTATTATTAAAAAACGAAGAGTTAAACTTGTAGAGGTCATAGAGTGCTGCCTATACATGTAAAAAATATAATTATGTACTCTCAAAGTGTGTTTACAAGGTTAAATCTTTATAATGTATTACCACTGTATGTCTATAAAATTGTGCTTAATGTAACCACTGTAAAAAGTTACAATTCTGCCAGCAGCAACAGCCTGGTTGACCAGGCAAGCCTGGGCTGGGCTGGTGGCTAACGCTCTTGCTTCACACGGCGAGGGTCTGGGTTCGATTCCCAGCCAGAGTAGAAACATTAGGTGTATTTCTTTCCACCTGTTGTCTATGTTCACCCATCAGTAAAATAGGTACCTGGGTGTTAGTCGACTGGTGTGGGTCGCATCCTGGGACAATGACCTAATGTACCCGAAATGCTCAGCATATCAAGCGGCTTTCTATATAGTAGTATGTCATTGATGTCAGCTATGGTCTGTATACCTTGTACTTGTAGTAAATAAAGATATTATTATTATTATAATCAAGGGGGAGCGCTAAACCCGTAGGATTATACAACACATAAGAATCTGGAAAGTAATCAAAAGTAGAGGTAAAATACCCGAAGCCACTGTGTGACCTGAAGAAGTGATCATCATTACTTTTATTTGGAAGCGTTTAATTTGTAGGGGCCAGAGCCTTAGGAATGAGAAGCAATCAGTGTGGAGATTTTTTTTTAAATTTTACTAAATTCAGCATGTGTAAATTTGAATAATATAATAATTGTGTATTAAAATGTGAAGCTGATTGGCAGAGGCCGCGGAATAATGGAGGGGAGACGCCATAATTAATGTGTACACTAGTTTGTGCTAATGGTGAAATTTAATCCGGCGTCATCAAAGCCATAATTGAGTGGATCGGCCCGAATTTGTAACTGGAACCTTTATTAATGTCCCCCGCTGAAGAGTAGGGACAGGAAATTTACGAAATCACCATAATACGGGGGTGAGAATGGAAAATGAATGATCCGGCGTCATCGCAGCTCACCCCAGGGAACTACGTATGTCATTTACTTAACAGTTTAGATACTAACTGGCCACTTAGATTCTATTTGCTAGGTAGGCATTAGGGTGTTCCACCAGCAATAAGTATCTTCCAGTAATTTTAAATGCTGAGTGTTCAGGTTAAATTTTCCTTTCTTTATATTCTTATAATATTTATCTGTAGTTAGGTGTTCTGGACCCATCGAACCATTTATAAGTCATACCCAATATACAGCCCACTATAATTTACCAGAGTTCCTGGTATTATTTTTTTTATATATCAAATAATTATAGGCCCGACCTAGTTTGTGGGTGGGCAAGAGTGTTTGGGTCATGGAAGGTGAGGTATGGTGTACCTTAGAACCTCCAAAATACCATCTAGCTCTCAGGTACAACTAATCTTGGCGAGTTTAATAAATTGTTACTTAGTTGTACCCCCCGTAAATTATGTGGATGAAATAATTCAGGAATGTACCTGTGAACCTCATCCAAGTAATTTCCCACAATCAAGTTTGAACCAAGGAA